GTTTATATATATATATATATATATATATATATATTGTATTAAAAAATGTGTAAATTAAAATAACGTAAATATAAAAATGTACAAGTTGCATAGTATATCTTGCTGGATGGCATTAAATGATCCGCACACATGTGATCTCTGCAGGACTCTGCAGAACTATCTGGCGTGGATGCTCATCATGGAGAGGGTCAGCAGTATGAGCCGGCGCTTCAAAGACGTGAGAGCGCACTACAGAAAGGTCAGCCTCACTCTGAACAAACACAAACACAGGAGAGCTCTCGTGGCATTTAACGCTGCTTTAAAAACTGCGTTTTGGTGGTCTGTTACTGTTTTAGTCCACTAGGTTATATTTATGTTTAATATAGGGGTTTCTCAACCTTGTTTTGGTCCCATTTTTCTTGGTTGCATTGTGTGTTCCCTCAGGCTTTGCATGGCACTACAGTAGAGGAGGCCAGGTGGAGAGACTGTGTCCGTTATGTCCAGGGCAACATGGAGAACGCCGTCGGGGCCCTGTACGTCCGGGAGACCTTCTCTGGAAACAGCAAACGCATGGTAAGACTAAAACACCAAACTGGCCTGCAAAAACACACCACTAGACAAAACAGGAACATCCTCCCTCAAAACTTCATGTAATTGGCTATTATCGGTTCTGATGATGATTTGACAGTAAGTCAACTCCGTATAAGTCAGGATGAATGATCCTAAATGATTTTATATAACTCTGCATGGCATATATAAAACTTTATATAGTTTTTCTAGGACAGTCAAATAACAATAGCAATCAAAATGCACCTTTTTATGTTCTTAATTCTGGCCTTATTGTGTATGATTTATCCATGCATATTATTCTGAAGAAATAAATAGGTTTGTCTTCATCATTTCATCAAAACAACTTTCCTTTTCAGCAGACGTCACATAGGCCTCCATATAATTTCATGATTTGCCAACTAAATAACCAATAGGCAAACAGCTATTTCAACTATATGATAGCGAGTTTAAAAAGTGTTGTAATGTTGACTTTAAATGTGTCTCTGCACTGTTGTTCAGGTGCGTGAACTCATCAGAAAGATTCAGGAAGCTTATGTGGAAACTTTGGAAGAACTGAGCTGGATGGATGAACGGTCCAAGGAAAAAGCCAGGGAGAAGGTCAGATGCTATTAATGGCCATAACTCCAGCACTGTAAAAAACTATTTGTTGAGTCAACTTAAAAAACTTTGTTAGCCTGCTGCCTTCGAATTTTTTGTTATCTTAATTTTTTTTCCGGTGTGATGCAGTTGTTTCAACATGCGCTTTTGAGTTGAAACAACAGTTATAGTTCATTCAACTTTCAGATTAGTTGAGGGCCAATAAACTTACATTTTCATGTTGTCTGGACAATTTATAAAAAATCAGTTATGTCTACAAAAAAAAATTTAAACTAAAAATAAGTTGAAATGGCAAAATCTCAGAATTGTTTTTTAGAGTGTGATGAAGTACTTTTATTTCTGGAGTTTATTCCTTTATCCTAGGGATTTCCATTCTTTTTTGTCAGCTGAACACCTTTGACCTAAAATATTTACTTGAAGTACCCTCTGAAATTTTAAGTTAATATTTCAATTATTTATATTCATATTTTCATGGCTCTCTGATGTTGGTTAATGGACACATGACATGGAAGTATACATTTATATATATACACACACAGTAAATATATATATATGTATATAAATGTTAATTTGAATAATTATACATTTTTATAATCTTCTCGATTCTATAAAAACCCAGTGGTAAATATATGAAATTTTAGATTTTTATTTTGATACAATTATTTACTGATATAAAATAATTATTTATTACATTTTATTTTTTATGATTTCATTAACTGTAAAGCACTTTAAGCTGAATTTCTTGTATGAAAGGTGTTATTTCAACAATAAAGTTTATTATTATTATTATTAATAATAATCTATTCTAATTCTATTCTTTTAAAAAAACACTTGTCCCCTTTAGACTTGCACTCTATTCATTTGCTGCTTGTTTTCTTTAAAAAAAAAAAAAAAAAAAACACTCTGTTTTCTTTTCATTTATTATACAATTAACAAAAGCAAAAAAGGCCTCCAACACTAGCTTGCTCTATTCTTTTTCTGTTCTATCTGTTTTCTTTTTATTTATTATATTATTTAAAAAAAACCTTGCTACGTGTACTGGGTTACGCTAACTGAAACTTGTTATAGCACTTGCATATCATTGCTCTTTTGTTGATTTTGATTGTTTTTATTGTCCTCATTTGTATGTCGCTTTGGATAAAAGCGTCTGCTAAATGACTAAACGTAAATGTATTATTATTATTATTATTATTATTATTAATTGCTCCTACTATCTACAAGTTGTTCTCTCTTTCCAAACGCCTGTTTTCCATGTTTTGCAGGCCATGGCAATATCAGAACAGATCGGTTATCCCGACCACATCCTTGAAGAGGAAAATAAGAAACTAGACGAGGAATACACACATGTATGGAAACTCTGAGAAATTTGACCTCTAAAGAAATGACCATCCAAACCAACTAATATCTCATTGACTTGAATACATGAATGATGGCAGCTTGGACAGAAATACTTGTGTGGTTATCTGTCTCTCTCTGTCTGCTCACAGCTGAATTTCAGTGAGGAGAACTATTTTGAGAACATTCTGGAAAACCTGGCAGCCTCTGCCCAGAAAGGTCATAAAAAGCTGAGGGAGCCCGTGGATCCTGACATGTACGAAACATAAATAAATAAATGCTAGAATGAGTTTTTTTTTTCTCTCGTGACCCGTCACTAAGTTATTCTCTTTGTCTCTGTGAATGTTTTAGGTGGATTATTGGTGCGGCTGTGGTCAACGCTTTCTATTCACACAACAGAAACCAGATTGGTAAATTCATAGCCATAAAGTCAGAAATAATATTACATAATATAATAAAACATAATATAGAATATTATATTATATATAATAATAAACAAACAAAAAAAGCATTCTACTCGCACAACAGAAACTGGATTGGTAAATTCATAGCCATATAATCAAAAATAATATTCAATTGTATAATATGATAATAAATTAATAATACATTTTAAAATTAAATAAATTACAAAAATAAAAATGTGCTTAAATCTCACAACAGAAATGAGACTGGTAAGCTCACAGCCATATAGTCAAAAATTATATTCTATTATATAATATAATATACAATATTCTATAACATAATAATAATAAATTAATAATAAATTTAAAAATGAAATAAATAACAAAAATAAAAATGTGTTTAACTCGCACAACAGAAACCAGATTTCTAAGCTCACAGCCATATAGACAGACATAATATTCTATTGAATAATATAGAATATTATATAGCATATAATAAAAACACATTTATAATAAATGTAAAATTGTAAAATGTAAAAAGTAAAAAAAAAAAATGTTTAACTCTCACAACAGCAAGTAGATTGGTAAGTTCACAGACATATAATCAGCAGGAATATTCTGTTCTGTAATATAATATAGAATATTACATAATATATAACAATAAATTGATAATAAATGTAAAAGTTAAATAAATTGCAAAAATAAAACTGTTTAACTCTCACAACAGAACACAGATTGGTAAGTTAGAAAAGCAGAAATAATATTGTATTGTATAATATAATATAGAATATTATGTAATATATAATAATACATTAATAATACATGTAAAAAAATCTAATAAATTACAAAAATAATGTGTTTAACACAACAAAAACCGGACTGGTAAGTTCACAGCCATATAGTCAGAAATAATATCCTATTCTTTAACATAATATACAACATTATATAATATATAATAATAAAAAAAAAAAATTTAATGCATAAAAAAATAAAAACGCATTGTACTTGCACAAACCAAACCAGACTAGTAAATTCACAGACATTTAGTAAGAAATCATATTTTATTCTATAATATAATCTATTCTGTATTCTATAATATAAATAATTTTCTTTCATCAATTTACCACAAATGGACAATTTAGTAAAAAAAAAAAACATGAAAATCATACAAAACATTGAACGCACACCATTATAGCTCCACTTAAGAAATCCTTCCTGTATATCTACAGCAAAGAGCCTTTCCAGGTCCACTAGCTAGACCAGCACAGACCAGTCTAGTCCAGCATTGAGATTCACAGTGGCCTAAATGGATCTTCCACAACCGCAAACTATAAACAGCAGCGTTGTCCAAACGTGGGTCTTCTGTGAAGTATTTGTTCTGGTCAGATTTCTCCTAAGCTGTTGAGGGCTCTCAGTATGAACGCTTTTTCAGCCCATTGTCATAATGGCTCTAATGCCTGTAGTGCTTTTCTCTTGTAGATTAAACAAAGCTAGTTTCAAGCTCCACTGCCCACAAAGCTTGTGCTTCCAGAGATGGACTGCGAACGCCGAGTGCACGCTACTCAGGCTGGGTTAATACAGAGATTACAAAAGCCAAGTGATTATGCAGATTTTCAGCAGGAGAAATTTCCACATAATTACTCTTAGATTGCACATTTTAATGTTCCTGGACAATCCGGGAAACACTTCAAGCTGAATTGCCGTTTGAGAGACAAGAGCGGCAGCTGTAATTGCCGGCACAGTGTCATTTCTAGCGCTGATATAGCTGGAGGACGATACACAGCAGAGATGTTTCTGTCCTTCTAATATAACTTCTGCGCTCTAGTATACACCATTACCATCACATTATTAAGCGTTTCTTCAACTACGGGCACTTTAGAGTCTTGTGGAGACTCTTTAAAAGCACTTTTCACACTGTTTTTAGTATCTGATAACATGAATTCCACTATCTTTTGAATTTTTGTCTGAACTGTCATTTTTCTGAACTAGTTAAAGATCTCAAATGACCATTAACACTGTGATGGAAATGACAGCTTAAACATTTAAACATGAAAACTCCTTTGTCTTGTTACGGGTAATTTTATAGCTAGAATGTATCCTAGGGGTGTGCGATTATCGTCTACGGTAATACTGTAATTGTTGTTTTAACGATGTGCGACTTGACATTATGGAGTATGTCACTCGCTTTGCAAAAAACAAACAAATTACGTTACAAATTAATTACAAATTACGTCTTGAGCATCCAAAAGCATTCACTGCATGATAAAGCCTATTTGAATGCAATCAGAATGCCAACTATAATTCAAGTTATGAAAGCAAAAAATACCCCTGTATGTTTTTTTTTTATATTTATAAGAAATTATATAGTTTAGTAATATGACACAAGCAAGAGTGCCGTCTTCCCAAATATCAGCACATTAGTTAATGTGATATTGATTTTATACAATAACTCAACAAAAGCAAGTAAACAAGAAGTTAATATTGAGTGAGTTACATTTTAGACACAATATTGTCTGCTTTTTTCTGTTTCGCCAACAAAAAAAGCTCCAAAGCCGGAGCAGAACATTTGCGCTTCTCAGAGAAATACTGCATTGTTTCATTCACATCTGTTTTTGAACTAATCATTTGAGTCAATGATTCAATGATCCATTTATAAAGACAGTCACTTGCTTTGTTTCTTAATGATTCAGCCATTTGAACGAATCATTTGAATGAATGATTCAATTAATCACTCCTTACAGGCACTTGCCGCCACCTACTAAATTATATTGAGATATCATTTTTGGTCGATATTACAAACCCCTAATCTTTAAATGCACACATTTATATTATATTATAACACGTTTTGCACAGTTTGACTGAACGTTTGCATGGCTTGATTGAAAATGATGCACGGTAAAAATATTTAGTAATATTTACCTCAATTTTTGTGTTTTCTTCTAACATGTCTCATGTACCACATTGTTGACATTTGCGTTCTTATTGTTAAAAAAGTAGCTAACCTTTGAAACTAACATTATTAGGGACAAAATTGTTGGTTGATGCCACAACTCAGCACTGGTAACTGATTTAAATAATTTTTACACAATAATGAAATATAAAAATATCTAAAATATATATAATCAGAATTCATACATGCATATATAATACATCACGCATTAAACATAAATGTGTGTGTGTGTGTATATATATATATATATATATATATATATATAATAAATATAAATAATATAAATATATAATGATAAATTGTCATATTTAAAGCATTATTTTTTTAACATCAAATATAGTATTTTGAAAGTTTGTGTCTAGGACAAGGGTAAATCTAGTCTTGGTTAAAAAACAAAAAACAAAACAAAACAAAATAAAACAAAAAACAAAACACAAAACACAATTTTAATGTGACCTTCAGAATAATTCTGAGGAAAAAAAAGCTGAAACCTGTTAGTTTTAATGAAAAATATGACATAAAAGTGTCCAAAGTTAACACTCTGTTACTGTTAAAATGAGTTGTTTTCTCATGTCACTCAATTAGTATCTCAAAAACGCATTTCCTGGTCAATTACCCAGGCATTATGCTGATTTCATCTCTTTCTATGCATCCATCTTTCTTTCAGTGTTTCCTGCTGGCATCCTCCAGCCTCCGTTCTTCAGTGAAAAACAGCTGCAAGCTCTAAACTTTGGTGGAATTGGGATGGTTATAGGACATGAAATCACTCATGGATTTGACGATCATGGTAATATGCATCTCATCTGATGGATTGTACCAATTATCAGTTAGCTGTGGCTGAATAAACAGTGTTGATTATCTTGTTTATGTGTGATGTATTAAACTCTGCGCTAAAGGATGGGTTTTAAATATCAAGGATAAATTGTTCTTCATTTGACCAAACCTCCGCGCAAAAGAGCAACCACAAAGCTTGTCTGTTTAAAATATGACTGTGATCCAAAAAAATAAATATTTATTTTCACAGGCCGCAATTTTGACAAGGATGGGAACATGAACAACTGGTGGAGCAACTCCTCTGCCGAGCGCTTTGAGGATCAATCTAAATGCATGGTGGAGCAGTACGGCAAATTCAGCTGGAAACTTGCAGGAGGCCAAAATGTAAGCAAAATGTAAAACTTCACTCAGTAGGATGGAAAGAATCTGTATATGAACTTTTAAAAATGAACAAATAACAAATATATGGTTTGTACTTCCAGTACTTGTAGTACGTGCATGCTTTGGGTCCAATCTAAGCATTTCCACTGCCCTTAAATAAAAAAAGATATATATCTGCTGGTTGGTCAAGCAAAAATTACTTGGTATAAATTCTTGAAACTAAAGTAATTTTTTTAGCCACTAAAAATGAATGAATTTTAAAACTAGACCGAAATGTTTAGATTAAAATGTTTTTACAAACATTGAAAATGACTCATTATTTAGTAGTCATATTCGCTTACCCCACTGGCATTTTTTGTGCTATATTTATTGATTTTTTTGTAAATATGGTAATGTATTCACTGCATTCTCTGTATTTTGCTTCTTTTAAGGATGTTTAAATACTTTTACTGACTTTCATAAAATATGCCAGCAATGTCTTAAACTGTATTCAGATTTGCCACAGCATCAAAGTCTATCAATTCTTCCAAAACCTATAATATCCAACTATAACATACACATTCACTCTAAAAAATGATTTTCTTACTTTGTATTTTTGTCTTGTTTTCTAGTATAAATAACTAAACATTCCTAAATAAAGATACATTTACTTGAGAAGCAAAATGACTTAAAATATTAAGTCTTGTTTTCTGAAAAAATGTATACAAATTTTGTTTGTTTTGCTTAAGAAAAAATATCTGCCAAAGGGGTAATAAAAATCTTAATCTTAATTCAAAGGGAAAATAAGTTTTTCGTTCGTGCCCCATTGACAGATATTTTTTTAAATCTTAATTAAAGAATGTTTAGGTATTTATACTAGAAAACAAGACAAAAATACTAAGTAAGAAAATCATTTTTTGCAGTGTTCATTTTATAGCTCAGTCCGTAAACAAATCTTTTTTTATTCCTCCTAAAAAACTCCTAAACAAATAAAAACAAATAAAGACTATAAAAACAGTGCTGTTATTGTAAACTTAGTTTTGTTCATCAAAATAAAGTTGAAATAAAAGAAAATATAAATATTAGATGAAAACCTAAACTTAAAAAAACAAAAAAAAAAACTAATTTAAGTTGAAGTACTAAAATTACTAAAAACTTTAAAATAAACTTTAAAATAAAACTTTAAAATAAAAAACAAATTATATATATAT